TTTTCACAATCATCCGTTAACGTTACGCGAATTTTAAATCGCTCGTACGTATTGCTTGTTGTGACGTGCTTTCTAAACACGTCTCTCGTACAAAGTAAACTGTAAAAACAATAACTCCTCGTGGAATAAACACGTGTCGTTTTTCTGACGTGCATCTATCAACTCGCGAAATTCGTGCCTTGCTGTATTGTCGTTATGTGTTTAAGTGGACCCGAAACGATTCTCAGGGACGCACATATCATTTCAGTTAAACCTTCCCTTTACATTCTTTAATTTCCAATGGCGTTTGTTTCCTTACACCAATTGCTGTATTGTCGTTATGTGTTTAAGTGGACCCGAAACGATTCTCAGGGCGGCACATATCATTTCAGTTAAACCTTCCCTTTACATTCTTTAATTTCCAATGGCGTTTGTTTCCTTACACCAATAATGTTTTAATCAAACTGTATTTTGGCTCTGAATATACGTGATCGCTTTAGTAATATCTTGCACTTGAAAAGTGTACTTTGATGGATTACCTCTGAATACGTACTGGTGTTGACTAACGCTTCAGCAAGTAAGGAGTAATGATTTATAACAAGTGTTTGGTTGAACTTAAGCATTTTTTGATGCATTTACAATGGATAGTTCCTTTTCCTAGGGGCCAGGTGGTTAGGGCGCTCGACTCGCAATCTGCGGGTTGCGGGTTCGAATCCCCGTCACACCAAACATGCTCGCTCTTTCAGCCGTGGAGGCGTTATAATGTGAAGGTAAATCCCACTATTCGTTGGTAAAAGAGTTACCCAAGAGTTGGCGGTGGGTGGTGATGACTAGCTGCCTTCCCTCTAGTCTTACACTGCTAAATTAGGGACGGCTAGCACAAACAACCCTTTACGTAGCTTTCGTGATGATCGTAAGTATACTGTTCTCAACAGAAAAATTCAAATTCTTTTGTCACAATTATATAGGTGTAGTACCATGCGAGGTCAAAGATCAAATGCTTGGTGGAGTTTTAAAAAATAAAATACTGTCTGCAAGTGACATCTTGTCCCACTGTGGCTCAGTGGTAAGTCTAAATGCTAATAACGCTAAAATCTGGGCTTCGATACCTTTGGTGGACACAGCACAGATATCCCATTTGGTGTTCTCACGTTCCAAATAATCTTACCTGTGCGATCATTGATTTTGGAGACATTTTCCACCCTTATTTGTGTCTCCACGATTTTTTTCCGGTCATCTTTAACGAAAAACGTAAAATTCAATTACATAGTCTGATTTCGACCTGTACAGTAATTAAATTTGAAGTCTGAATTTTTCCACTCTTCATTATTATTACTTGGAACACAAGAGTAACTTTGCGCTTAACAACAAACAAACAAAGTGACATCTTAATACTAGAAAGAAACGGCCTTATAACACCAAATTAATTTTTGTTTAATTGGACACTCAACTTTTCGCCTTACAGCTTCTTCAAAAGCGTTCCACTAAAATATAAACCGTAACTGACAATACAAAGCTTCAAATGGTTACTTTGAACATTATATTATACTCGAATACAGAGCGTGTGTTTGACATATTAAGTATTGTTGAAAAACTGTGTTGAAATAATAAAGTGTTACCTGTACCAAGCATAGTTCGATAGTTCTAAGTTGCAGATTGAAATAACAAAAATTAAGATGAAAAAAAAAATGGTGTTATAAGGTCGTTTATTTCTAGTATTAAAATATCTTTTATACGCCAATATGCATAAATATAGTGACATATGGGTTGAGAGAATAACTCTGCCCCTCCCAATTTATATGTCCACCGTGCAACACACTACAGAACTGGCTTATGTCTCTAAATAACTTGCCGGTGGAAAACAAGCTCACTAAACAGATTGATAAGGTGTCGACCAAGGTCCTTGAGCTCAACCCCCGAGAAACTGCTGTCATTCTAGACGTCTGGTACTGGTATGACGTCATTTTCGGAAGATCATTGGTCAGGCGTGCCCTTCTGCACTTCAGTAAAAGATTCATCGCACTTCCCTGCAATATTGTTTCTGTACCGTTAAAAGTGTTAGATTAACCCTCGAGACTCGATCACGTATCTAGTCATCTGCACTTTTCTTGCTCGCTGATCTTAGTTCTTAAATTCCCTCCCAGGTTTAATTTTTTTTTTCCGACAGGATTATAAACACTTAGCCACCCATTTAATTTTAAATCATGAGCGGGGTGAAGAGAAAAAATGTTTCTGAACACCCCTCCGCTTACCTTTGACCCTAAAGTTTAGTGTCAAACGTCTTTAAATCGAAATTACTGTCATGCTTTTGTTGTTGCCGAGCTGAGTAAATATATGTCCTTCTGTTGCGAGGTCTTCACTCGCGCTGATTTGGACAGGATGATGTGAACCAAAGACGGTGTTTTAAAGTGTAAAAAAAAATGAAAAAAAAACAAAGTAGTTTTGATGTTGTCAACAATTTTAAAGATAGATGTAATATGTGTGGTTTCGGTTACATATACCCACTTCAGGCACCGGATGATTGGTCAAGCTAACACAACAAAAGAGTCATTAATGTAAACAGGTGTGGTACAATAGGTCAACTTAAAGACGGACAGATATGCATAGATAGCCCTCGTGTAACTTTGCTAAAAGTTCGAACAAAAATCACATTTTAAAACCTCAATAAATTTTATTGTATAACTTTCTCGTCTCCTAAAGTATGTGTTCAGTTCAAAACTGAAAACCACACTGAATATCCTGCCGTTATTCCTGAATACTAATCGTAATAATTATTTGTATTAGGGAAGTTTGTATTCGCCGAAATAATGAATCGTTTATTATATTCAGTTCGGTAACACACTCAGCAACAGTATTTATTAAATAAAGTGAAATTAACACTCGACTTTCAAAATCACATTTATGTTAGCTTAGGTGTCGGGGGCAAATGTTGTTAATTTTAACGAAAAATTATATTCCTTTAAAATTTATTTTTTTCTTCTGAAACAATGTTTCAAAAAAGCGGCTTTGCTTGTTATGTAGAATAGGGGTAATAGTGTTTCTTGATTGCGGATACAAGAAACACTAGAAACCGGTTTTCGATACCCGTGGTGGGCACAGCACTGATAGCCCATTGTGCAGCTTTGTGCTTAACTTCAAACAAACAAAAACACAAAGCAAAGAAGTTTGAGAAATTATTTATGTTGTAGTCGGAACACACAATATTAATATTGTGTTCTTTTAAAATTACAAAACAAATAATTCCAATATTGAGAGCAATATTTGAGTCACGTGCAACGAGAAATAACGGCTAGTTGAAAAAAAAAAAAGGTTTGTTTGTTTATTGAATTTCGCGCACAGCTACACGAGGGCTATCTGC